CCCCCCCCCCCTTTTTTTTTTTTTTTTTTTTTTTTTTTTTTTTTTTGTGAACCAATAAGTTTTATTGGAGTTACTTACAGGAATATGGATGAGGGAATCACTTAAAAGAGCATAAATGAGTCAAAGACAGCTGTGCCACCAATATCCCACCCTCACAAAAGGTGGAAACCTGAAGCATACTGCACAACTTGAAAGCAGCTCAGCAGGTTGGAGTGTACCCTTTCCAAGTGAGCTCCCCTCCTTGATATGGGACTGTCATGTCATCTTTCTACTCAATTGTTAGCCAAAATATTCTTTGATGGTTCTCCTCCTGTCCTTAGAAAGCTGTGGGGGAATTTTATTAACAATTGCTTCCTTTGTCACAGACTTCCTTTTTCCTTTCCATAGTCAGTTAAATACTTATTCTGATTACTTACAATGTTGATGACTTGCTAGAGATATAAAATTGGTACAATGTAAAGCCAGTCCCTCACTTGGAACCAACAACAGCCAGATCCAAAGGGAAGGCCTTGCCTCAGGCTATAGTCTACAGCTGAGACAGACCCAAGGCTACAAACAGGGGTGATTTCCAATCCAGTTTTCACCAGTTACAGTAAATCTGGGGCACAAATGGATTGAGAGGCTTTCAGACTTAGCGGAGGCCCAAATGGTTCAAACTGAACCTCAGGTCCATCTAGAATGAAGTCCTTATTCTAAAGGGGCTGAGGGGAAACTCCCTTGTGACCATGGCCTCTGAGTCCTAAGACACAGCAGCAGACAGGCATTGAAGTCACTCACCTGATGGGTATGATTTCCAGGAACATAGACAGACTTAAACTGTCTCATGAGGGTCCTAGCTCCAGCAATCTCTTGGAGAGACGTAAATATATCATTCACAGCAAGTTGTGATTTGGGAAATGTCAGGTTAATTGCAGAGTCACAGCCTGTAACAGTCCAGAGATATTTTCATAAGTGAATAAATCCTTAAATTAAGTTTTCCTCATGACAGCTTGAGCTCAATGTGAGAGCCTGGGATTCCTTTAACCCTACTTTTCCTGGCTGCTCACTAACAGGGTTGTTTCAGTCATCCATGAGTAATGGGGCATGATGATTGTGAATGCTTTTGACACAGAATTACCTGGCACCACAGCCACTGGCTCAGCCACTAGACTGCAGAGGCCCTTGGACAACAGGCTCACTAGGGGCTTTGATTCTCAGACACTGCCTTGGAAAACCAAGAGGAACACAAGGAAAATGGGAGTGAGTGCTGTGATGAAACCTTTGTCTGCACACCACTGAGTTTCCAGAAGGTCTGACAGAAAGACAGAGAAAGAGTACAGAGCCACACCAAGAGTGGAACTAGCTGGGATAGGCAGGTGCCAGGACTATTTAAAGGGGAACAGTGTAAGCTAATAAAAACACAAAGGTGGCAATCACTCTCACTGATCAACTACTGTTCTCTTAGGCATCTATTCAGAAGAGAAATAATCAAGGATAAGATAGACGTCCACACAACATGGATGCATTGAGAGCTCTCATCCTCAATTCATACACCAGACAGGTCAACTCATCACCTCTCATGTGACCTCTGTGAGGTCACAGGGACAGTTTCTTCTCTTTAGAGCATGAGGACATTGAAATGTAGGTTTAGGTACTCCTATGAATAGGTACTGCCACGACCTTGCCATGCTCACTTAGTCATTCAGGCCTCACCTGTAGGGTCCATAGTGCCTGTATGCTCTGCTGTCCGTCTGGACCACCTGCCTGCTTTCTGTTTGTCTCTGCCTCTATCTCTTCCTGTCTGGATTTTCTCTGGTTGTATCAGCTTGTTGGATCTGCATATGGGCAGCCAAGAAGTGTTGGGTGCTATATATTCACTCATGGGGATAATTCTGAGTGATGGCCTCCACTGCCATTCTGAAGGGCCTCAGCAGGCCTGACCCAGCTGCCCCTCAAGAACTTGTTCATTAACATTGTCTTCCTTTCTTCACCAGAGTGGTCAATGATCAGACACAGGCAGCCTGATCCATATCCCGACCCAGTCTGTAACTCTGACAGCAATGTTATTGACATGCGATTCACATTCTATGTAATTCTCCATTTAAAGTGTACACAACCAAGTAACTTTTCTGTATATTCACAGACTCATACAACCATTTCCTTCAGTGGAGTTCTGAACACCTTTATCGTCCCAACAGGGAACCCTAAATCTGTCAGCAGGTACTCTTAATTCTTCTCCATGTATCCACCAGTCTGCCTTCTGACTCTATGGATTCATTGACAGGACATTTCATATAAATAGACCATAGAACATAAGTTTGTCTTGTTTTCAGGCATTCTTCAAAATATTAACACAGAGTTACCAATAAGTCCACAGTATTGATGCACTACATTTCATGTGTCTACTCAGGTACCCAGAACCCAAGGCTGGAAACTTTGGAAAGAAAATAAAGTTTCTCAGTTGGCAGGCACTTGGGTTGTCTCGGTGTCTCAGTTATCAAGACACTGCTGGTAGTTTTGCATGGACAAGTTTTCATGTGGACACACACTTCCATTTCTCTTGTGTGGATTTACTGGCAACTCTGTGTTAATCTTTTGAAGACTGTCAGATCCACACTGTTTCCCAAATGACTAGTTACTTTACATTCCCACCAACACTCTAATAGGGCTTCGGTTTCTCTACATTCTTGTCAACATTTACTAATATCTATTACTAACATCTATTTTCTTGACCATAGCTATCCAAATGCCTGTGAAATAAGGGGATACTTGTCAAGTTTGATAGCCAAGAAAATTGCTTTGGGAAGGAAGCGGTCGGGTCAAACAAGCTTAAACTAAAAGAGGATGTACCTAGCATACACAGAAGCATCCAAAGGACCCCAGCTGCGTCTGTACAGAGAGGAGGTATGTGAGTGGCTGAGCCCATACTCTTAATTAGTATGTGACACTGTGTGTGGTAACTCTTTCGGTAGGCAAAATTCCCTAATAAATATTTGTTTCCTGGTTTCCACAAATGTCTGACTTGTCATTAAAAAAACTGAACTGTAACACAGTGGCTTGAATGAGAAATGTTCCTCATAGGCGCAGATATTTGAACACTTGGTCCTTCATTAGTGGCACTGCTTGGGGGAGAGATGGAACTTTCAGGAGTCAGAGCCTTGCTGGAGGAAGCATGTCACTGGGAAGGGGGTAGTTGTCTTGATAAAATGTGATCAGATAGCTTCCCATTCCTGGCCCCATGCCTGCCTGCTGTCATACTCTTCCTGCCATTAGACTCTATCCCTTTGTAACTATAAGCCAAAAGAAGCCCCTTCCTCCCTGAGTTGATTTTGGTCATGGTGCTTCATCACAGCAGCAGAAAATTAACTAATGTATATAGTTACACTAGTTTTGTTACAGTAAAATACTAGAGGCTGGATACCTTATAAAGATAAAAAGTTTCCCTTAAAATCTTGGAGGCTAAAAAGCCAAGATCTATTTAGCCTCTGGTGAGGAGGCCGTTGGCATTGTCACAGTATGGCATTATGATGACAGAATGTGTGAGGGGGACAGGTCACATGTGAGACAAGAAGCAAGGGCAGAGAGAGGCCAGTGTGTTCTATTTATAACTCACCCTTTTAGGAACTCTTTTTGCAGAACCAGAACTGATCCCTTCTGGGGAGTGTCAGTGACCTGTTGACCTTGCCCTGTCTCACTTCTTTTATGTTCTACCACCGTGTCTAATCAGCACCCTGGGTATTGATCTTCCAGCACAGGAACCTTTGCTGACAAACTACACCTAACCTGTGCAGAGGTGAAAACCAGTGTGAGAAAACCTCTCTGTGTTGAGTTGACTTTGTGTACATGGAGGACTCCAGCGGGGGTGCAGGAGGAAGTCAATGGAGAGACTCCAAGCATTCACACAAATCCTTGGAACAATTCCATGCCAAACCTTGTGGAAAGGGGAAACCTGTAGTTTTCTGAAATGCATGCCTATAACTTCTTCCTGAATCCTGAAAAGGTTCAAAGCTAGGAATTGCTGCGCTGCAAAAGGCCAGAGTATGGAAAAGTCTCACACCTGGGCTGCTATTTGCACTGAAGTCAACCTGAGACAACACAGCTTGTGCCTTATAATCAACAAAAGAAGGAAGGCCAAGGATGTGGCTTTTCATTCACTAATGAGGGTTCTTTCTGTAAACTCATGTAAAGGAAATCTGACTATCAACTATCTATCCTCTTATCATCTATCTGTCTATCTATCTATCTATATCTACTACCTGTCATCTATCAATCATCTATCTATCATCTACCATCTATCAGTTATCTATCCATCCATCCATCCATCCATCCATCCATCCATCTATCATCTATAAATAATCTATTATCTATTATCTATCATTTTAGATTATTCATTACTTTGTCAAGAAACAAAGACATGAAGACAAGGAGAAAGAAGCATCCCCAGTTCTGATACCATACAATATGTTTTTAATTCCTCTAAAAGACGAGCTAGTAGACTAATATTTTAGGTAAAATAACTCATTTTCTATAGAACTGAAAAAGTCATTCCAGTTTTCACATGGTCCATTTTAATTTGGGGGAAGAGTACAAAGGAAAATATTTATCCATTAGGTAGAATTTGGTATGAAGTCATCTACTAGACTGAAGATAATTTACTGAAAAGTCTAGACTATTTGGGGAGCTTGTGCATTATACATCAAAGTTAAGTTAAAAGCTGGGAACTCACATGGGTTAAGGTCAACCACAGAGCAGGCTGTTTAATACGAGTGTGTATGGGTTACTGTTAAACCGAACTAAAATGAACCAACTGAACAACAGAAACTGCTGGAAGGAAGACAAAGTCCAAACTGTGCCAATAAAATAAAGACCTTCTTTTAAAAGTCTACTGTTTAAACCACCCATTCCGGTAACTTCTATTCAAACTACTGACCCTCTCCAACTTTCATGTTTTCTTCAAAACAAGTGCCCTGGATTGCATGTGTTCTGGGGACAGTAGTTGAAAGGGATTCACTTATAGTCAGTTTTTAACCATTTTTTATAATTTACTTAAATTTTATTGTTTTACATTTACTTACCCAAGCCATATAGCAAAAGTTGCACACATAAAATCTTTCCAAAAATGGTAAAACAAACGAACAAACAAACAAACCAGAATGGGACAAAATCAACAAACAGGAAAAAGGAGCCTTTTATCTTATTTTTATCATCATCATCATCATCATCATTATTTTTAGATTTGGTTATATTGTAATGAAAGAGAAAAGGAAAGGGTGTGGATTTGGGTGGGTGGGGAAGTGGGGAGGATCTTGGAGGAGCTGTGGAAGGGAAAACTAATAACATATTATATAAAAATTTTATTTTCAAGTAAAAAAAAAACCTTTCCAAATAAGGGTTTGTTGCTAAGTGTGGTGGCTACAACAATAATTTATGCCTTTAAATGGCTAAGACAAGAGAATTGCAAGTTCAAGGCCAGCTTGAGCTACATAGCAACATTCTGTCTCAAAACCCCAAAAACAACATTATAAGGCAACAGAAAAAGAAATACAGGCCAGAAATATCAGTGACTAATACAAGATTCTCTATTAATGTCCCTCTTCTATTGCAGACTAGCAGTCCTGTAGACATCAGGATTCCCACCATCCAAAGGCACATCTGGGGAAGCTGTTTATTCCATGTGTGTACTATAGTTAATAGAAAAGAGGGGACATGGACACAAAAGCTACAACATGGAACGAGCAGTTTCCTACATTATTAGCAATCTCGATGTTCTCTTATGTTCATTCTAGTTCAGTGGTTCTCAACCTTCCTAATGCTGTAGCCCTTTAATACAGATCCTCATGTTGTGATGACCTCCAACCATAAAATTACTTTCTTACCAGGGCAGTGGTGATGCACGTCTTTAAATCCCAGAATTCAGGAGGCAGAGGCAGGAGAATCTCTGTGA